AAAGGCACTGCTTGGTCTCTACTTCTCGGTCAGTAGGCCATTGTTAAGTGTCAGTGAATGCAGATCCTATCATTACGTTTTAATTAGACCAGCATTTACAAGAGAGAGGGGAAAATGCAAATCTCAAGTTAAAACGAAGCCACATTTTTTGAGCCACGAGCTTCTATTAATGCATATAATTAAACTACTAAGTGATTGTTCGCTCCCTGTAGAGTTGGAAGTGTCACTCAACGCAGTAGCTTTCAAGTGTTACCACTATTCATAGTTATAAATAATACAGCTGGTGGAGATAAGGAATGCTGTAATATGGAGAGTGAAGATAATGTTCATCTTAATGCAGACGGGCGTGAATTTAATCATCTGCTTAATACAGGGACTATACTAAAGGAACAGTTTCAAATATGTTTATGGCATAAGACCGAGAGGCACGTGATTTCTAGTGGGGCAGTCATTAAAAAATAGGTTTTGGTGACCTTTATTTTTAACAAAACCTGACATTTTTTTCAAAGTCGCTTAAGAAAAATTGCTTCACTTATCCTATATCCTATCTCCCACTACAGTTGAACATCTTGAGAGCAGGAAGATGAAAGGTGGCAACTGAATGTTTTGTAAGAAGGTGAAATGGAATCCCATAAAAAAATGGAACATTCTCTTTTTGGACCAAGGGGAAGAACTGTGGCTTTTGGGTCTTTTCAAAAAACGTTTCTAATTTCTCTGTGCTCGGCGCGGTACAATCGGATTAAAACAGAAAGATGCTATCTTTTAATATTGGCTGCTATGTGCTATGACCAAACTTGGAAATGGGACCGAACCACTGCGTGCTCTGATTGTGGTTCCAAATTGTTTGACCTTTCTGTTGCCGCTGTGAACAGATACATGATGGACTGACAGGTCTGTAATTTTAAGAGCTTGCTGCAAATGCGTTTGAAAATGAAATCTTTGAGCACAGGTCTTCATCTCCTTATCCCATCTCATATTCTGAGCTATTTTGGGGTTCAGGTTAGCATTACATTGACTTTACTTTTTAATGTCAGCGGCGTTGGACAACAATTACAGTGTCGTGCAATTTTTTGATGCTCAAAGCAATTGATGGGAGTTGAACAAAAGAATTCCATCGTGCACTTTGATACGTGTGCCTTGATGGAAAAATCAGTGGCTTCTTGGCATCTAAATGACTAACTTTACACTCATTGGGCCCTGATTACTCATAGTGGCAGGGAGTTTATGAGGTGCTGGATGAATGGATCCTACAGATGCCGTTAGCTTTAATAACAGGGAACTTTCTTCAACAAAGGTGTGTGCTAGTAAAATCAATTACCGTTCTCATAAAACATGTTAGCAGCTCACTTGTATAACCTTGTAGGCTGAATGTGTGCTGATGGGTTCTTATTAAGATTCATTGTTTGTAATTCGTAGAGCAGCTGTTCCAACCGGGAAAGTACGTTTAATGGAGCTCAGGTGAAACACAAAAACATCTGAATTCTGCTTATATTATTTGTTGTGCAAGAGTGCTTAACTTTCCTCTAACACTGCATAAATAGGGCAATGTTACGAGGGATGTTATTTAGGGTATGAAAAAATCTGTTTGTGCACCTCCAGGATTAAAAATTTTGGCTGATCTTAATTTTTATATGTTTGCATTTCTTAAAACACTGTGACCATCCTGTCTTTGCACACGCATTTTAAATTCAGCTCTAGCATCCATCTTCATTATAGGGGAAGTGTTAAGTGCTCCTTGGCTTAGGCTTTAGCTAGAGGGGGAGAAAACGTGAAGTTCAGAGCAAATGAGTTCAGTAGCTTTGAAGCTGTTTGTGTTTCCATTTGGAATATTCATGCGAGAGCGCTGTGCCACATCCTCAAGTGATTGGAAAAGACTGGAAATAGACAGGGGTCCTTTCTCCCCAGGTCTTCTTTAACCTCTTGCATCACAGTGCGTTAGCAGACGTGGATTAAAGCACGACTGTGTGCTTGCTGGGCCCGATGGAAGCCCTTCTTTTGGACTCCAGAGGTCTTTGGATGGCGATCTCTGGAACAAATTTCATTCGAGGGATTTAATTTGTTATGGCTGGAAGCTGTTCTGAACACATTTATCTGTCGAAGACACTTTTTCAGGTGTGTAATTAAAAAAAAAAAAAAAAAAAGGAAAGGCTACAGTTAGTAGTAAAGCTTTGAATGTGTTGGCATTTTATAGTTCCTTTGTTTCGTGGGAACTGTGTACAAATGGGAAAAGGTGAAGTCTTTAAATGTTGGGATTTACAGAAACCTATTAAAGTTTACCTCTGAAAAAAAGGGGTTTAGGAAGGAAGGAGACACTGCTTTGCTGTGTTTTCAAGATTATTTCAAAAGTTCGTCTTGATGAATATATTGAGAAATAGTTTAGGAAATAAATATGGAACACTGTCACTATTTTAATGACGGTGTTACTGAAATACAGAGTAGCATTATCAGCTCACATAATGTATTGACATAAAATAAGCAGTTTGTAGGAAGTGGCAAAATTCATGCTGTGATTGGAAACCTTAACTTTGACCTTGCCTTCGACTGCTGGGTGATTTTAACTTCAGCTCTGTGTTGATGCGTTTGCCTTTAATCTGCAATGTAAATCAGCGACTGTTTTAAATATTCTGACTGGTGAATCATAGATGCTTTTGCATTCAGTTCAGTGTTGTTGCAAATAATAATGCACAGCCTCACTGGAAGCTTTTTTCCTTGCTGGAGTGGTGTATTTACCTTCCCGTGGCTCATTGTGGAAGCATCATTGCCTTCTTACTGTAATGTCTTGCTCTTCTTCAGTGCTGCTTGGCCACATTACTCCTCTCATTAGAGCAGTCATTCCTTACAAGATTGTCTCGTTCTTTCTGTCGCAGTTGCTTTCTTTTATGCTAGAGCACCTCTAACCACCCACAGAAATATTCATAGAATTATACAATGGCTTGGGTTGGAAAGGACCTTGAAGATCATCCAATTCCAAGCCCCCTCCATGGGCAGGGTTGTGACCCACTAAATCAGGCTCCAGCTCAGGCTGCTCGGATGGGCATGGATAGCTGCCTTCTCAACCAGCAATAGCCAACCTGTAACCTTGAGCTGACCTGTCGGGGCCAGGGGCCACTTTGGAAGAGTGCATTAAGCAGACATGCTGTTGTCATCATGAGCACAGATTTTATTTCTGATATCATTTCACCTCCGTTGTTCAATAGGCTGCTCTGGAAGCCCTGGCCATTGCCAAAACAAAAGGAAGGCTCTGCCCAAAACGCCTGCTGGCTCTCCTAAGTTGGGCAGGTGAGTCATCCTGGCTGGAAGCTGCAGATGGCAGGGGGGGGGGCAGCCCAGTGCCCCCAGGGCATCGTCTGTGTCAGAGATGATGACAAATTCACAGGGCTGGCCAGATGATTTGCCTGTCACCACCAGGAAGTGGTGTAAGAACATGCTTACAACGAAGAGGAGCATTATACAGAGTGCACAGAGAGTCGTGGCAGAAGGTGCACACCAGCCTTTTAACCTCTTTGATACCCATGCATGCTCCAGAGTGAGCACCGTGGTCTGGGGTCTGCACTCACCTGCTTCTGTCTGCCTTTGGCTCCCACCTTGGATACTTTTTGAGGAGAACGGCAGGATTTGACAGCTCTGTAATTTTGCTGCAGCAGTGTGGGCTCAACCCATGGTCCCCGTCGTGTTTATCTCTCTGGCTGATGCCTTGGTAGTGCCCATGTGTCTGGGTGTGTGCCAATGGCTGAGGCTGCTGATGGCATTTGCTTCCAGCATCAGGGCTTTACACCCATCAGCAGCAGGAAATCTTGCAAAGTCTCCAGGTTGGGCTGAGACACATGAATGTAATGGGGCATTGGAGCTGAGTGGCAGTCAACACCAAGGCTAGCACAGGGCTGGCATTGCCAGCTGTCAGCTCAGCTTAAAGAACTCGAATTTCCTTTTGTTGCAATAAGAACACTGTGCTATAGAGGGATCAAGCTGTAGGTTTCAAATGTGCAGTAGTCTAATCCAGTGTTTGTAGCTGCTGTTAGAGGGCCATGCCATCCCTTAAGGCTGCTTAATGGTTAGTTCAGAGTTCCTTGCCTGTTAGTGGAGGGTGGATAGTGATAGGACAAGGGGGAAAGGTTTTAAAGTGAGACAGGGGAGGTTTAGGTGAGATCTTAGGAGGAAGTTTTTCAGCCAGAGGGTGGTGAGGCACTGGAACAGGTTGCCCAAGGAGGCTGTGGATGCCCCATCCCTGCAGGCATTCAAGGCCAGGCTGGATGTGGCTCTGGGCAGCCTGGGAACTGGTTGGCGACCTGCACATAGCAGGAACTGGATGAGCATTGTGCTCCTTTTCAACCCAGGCCATTCTATGATTGTTTTTTCTTGTTATTATTGCCATTTTAAAGTAATTTTAATTGTTGTTACTGAGGTTTAATCTGAAAAAAGAACCACAACACTTGCTGCGGAGTGTAAGCAAGCGTTGTTCAGTTTGCATCTTTATACAGGAATTTGGTCATAGGCATTAGCAGGAGATACAGTTTGTCCTCCTGTTCTCTGGGATTGTTGAGAACATCATTGTAGAATAAATCTGTTTTTCTTCATTGCTATTCAAATGATGTGTCCCAGACACATTGATTAATCTCTAAATGTGGCCTGCTGAGATTGAAGATAAGTACGCTCATTTCTATTGTTCTAATTCTGAGCAGAGTCTGTTACAATAAATGGAGCAGTATCTATTGAATTCATGCTGAAAGGTAGCAGTGAGGCAATGACTTGATTCATTGCATTATCATGTGGATTTTTTTCTTCAGCAGCTTTTTCTTTAAATCTATAATATACTTTTATTTCTAAAAACGTTGGAAACTGGTAAATACTGGGAATTCAGTGCAAGCCTGTCATCCGTAAGTCACACACTTACAGTGATGTTCTAACAGAACCTGTCGTGAAATTCGTTTTGTTGGGGCACTGAAGCCCCAGGAAATCTAGTTTGATTCTCTCTGACTCACGCTTTCCTTCCATGTTTGCAGGAGTTCTTTGAGAACCCAGCTTTTCGCCCTGATGGCATGAAGCTCTACCCAACGCTGGTGATCCGTGGCACTGGGCTGTACGAGCTCTGGAAGACTGGAAGATACAAGAGCTACCCTCCTAGCACTCTTGTTGATCTCGTGGCCAGAATCCTGGCTCTGGTCCCACCATGGACGCGTGTGTACCGTGTTCAGAGGTAATTTTCTGTGGTGGGCTTTGTGTATTGATTTATTGCACTTGGAGGGATTCTTGCTTTAATTACAGCAAGATCTGAGTCAGCCTGTTATTTTTTTTTTTTCAGTCGTAATCGTTAATGCACTAAAGATTTTTAAACTGCTTCCTATCTATTCAGAATGGGAAAGGCCATATAGAATGAGAAGCTATTTAATCTGAACTGCCTCTCTAATGCACCCATAAACTTCAAGATTTCTGGAGGCCCCATTTTCACTGCCAGTCAGATGAGCATAGGATGTGGCACATGTAGTACTCTAATGATAGTGATGGATAATTGCCTCTTGGCTGTGGGCGAAGTTTCCTATATTTATTACAGAAGCTACAAGACATTTCATTTTTTTTGGCTCTAAAGACTTCCTGTCTTCCCCCATGGGTGTTACAGGGTTTTCATAAGTATATTACAATGGTGCTGTTGTTTCCATTCAGAAGCCTCACTTCCCGAGGTGATAGGTGCTACTTGCTCTTGTGCTGTGTTTTCAGTGTGGGGTCCTTCTTGGATTATTTTTCTTCTGTTACCTCCTACATGTCTAATATTAGGAAGGGAGGCTATAGTGTTCTTACCTGGTTTTGCATGTGCAAACAGTACTCTGTTGGCTTCCAGCTGTATGAGCTGGAGGCAGTGCCAGTGCCTGGCTCTTTGAGAGTCAAACCATAGAACAGTTTGAATTGGAAGGGTCCCTTAAAGGCCATCTGGTCTCACTCTCTTGCAACGAACAGGAGCACCCACAGATCCACCAGGTGCTCAGAGCCCCGTCCAGCCTGACCTTGGGTGTCTCCAGGGATGGGGCATCCACTGCTATCTGGGCAGCCAGAGGAGGAAGTTTCTTGTGTTTTGGTCTGTAATATAAATAAGCCACTGTTGAATACAGCTTGGGAAAGCATTCTTTTAGGATGCCTTTTTAGAGACATAAGTATTAATGCAGACAGACTTTCATAAGACCTTATCTGAAATAATCCCCATCTTCGAGAAAATGAACTGCAGGGGCACGTCAGTTCTTTGTCTGAAGGACAGATGCAAACAGAAAACCTCTGCAAGCCTATAAGAGAAGGAAAATAACACTATAAGAAATGGGAAAATTGGTTTGGGCACAGAACAAAATAGGAAATAGCCCTGTATAAGGCAAGGCAGGAAGCTGGGAATTTCTTGTCAACCAAGGAATGAGATTCTGGAGCAGCTTTGCAAAGTTATCAAAGAGGAATAGGACAAAGTATGAATGTAGCAAAGCTTGATTGGGTTGATAAGCATGGTAGTGAATCCAGCAGTCTGTATTAACAGAGACATGGATTAAGCTAGTGGCTGTAGCCAATCTCTAAAAGAAGTTCTCTAATGAAGAAGGCAAAACATGTCTTATAGGAAACATCTACTTGTTGTTGCCTCAGGCTTTTCACGTCAGTCACAGAAGCATTATTAAAGACAAACTTCTGTCTTTTTTCTCTCTGCATGTCTGTCTTCCTCTCCCTGGTGGATTCCGGCATAGACAGAGTGTCCCATTTGTTCATGATGCTGTTACCATGGTGTGTGTCTGAAACAAATGGCTTTGTTCATAGAGGGCTGCAGGAGTTTGCTGCCTAGCAGAACTTCCTCTGAAGAACACAAGCTTGGAAGAGTGTCTGCTTGGCATACTGGTTTCCTTGGGCTTGACAGTGGGTCTCTTCAGTCACCAGCAGCAGCCTCCATCCAGCTGTCATCCAGCTGTCAGTTGTTATGCTCCAGCAGAATAACTGTTTCCTTGCTGACTGGCTCATGTTATCTGAAACTTGCTCTTGATGATTACAGATTTGTACACCTCCAGTGCAAAGTCCAAAATCTATTATTTTGATCTAAATTGCTTTCAGGGTCACTGTGTGGCTCTGCAGCACAATAACGAACAAAGCCAGATTTCTGAAACATTTGTGACCTCTTCCCAGCACTGCTTTGCTGAAGGTAGCGATAGGACAAAGGGGAATGGTTTTAAACTAAAAGAGGGGAGATTTGGATTAGTTCTTAAGGGGAAATGTTTCACTCAGAGGGCAGTGAGGTCCTGGCAGTGCTGCCCAGAGAGGTTGGGGATGCTTCATCCCTGGAGGTGCTCAAGGCCGGGTTGGATGGGGCCTTGGGCAGCCTGGTCTAGTGATTGGCAGCCCTGCTTACAGCAGGGGGTTGGAACCAGGTCATCTTTGAGGTCCCTTCCAACCCAAAGCTTCCTATGATTCTATGAAAACAGTGTGGAATTCCTTCTGTTTCTGGAAACCAAATTAAAGGTGTACTCAGTGCAAGTGGCTGGTTGGAGGGGGATATTTCTTCATGGCTGCTTCGTAACTGTTGGAGATGCTTAACACTGTATTTGTCCTGAATGTTTGTGAAGCTGATTGGCACCTAAGTCCTTTGTGTGGAGAGGTGTGAAATGACAGCAGCAGTGCCACATCTTGAGATATTTCCTTTAGTGGATCTCGGTGTTTTATGCAGATGTTGTTTTCACTGGACCAGTGGGGACATGTAGGTATGAAAAAATAAAATACTTCACTGAGATCCTACAACAAGGATAGTAAAAATTTTAGAGTAGTGAAAATACCCCTGTTAGTTGCAGGGGAGTTGGACTAGATGATTTGTAAAGATCTCTTGCAACTCAAATGGTTCTATGATTAAAAAGGGACTTTGACTCCCACTGTCTGTTCCAATCAGCTGGCTAACAAGTGTCTTAAGTGATGCAGAATATTAGAAAAACAGAAGGTGAGATAGGCCTCATTGAGACTTCTGGCAAATGGAACACTAGCGTTAATAAGGTCAGGATGTAATCCCCCATATCCCTCAGTTTGTTTAGCATTTGAACAAGTCCTGAAATTGCTAGGACAACAGTTTGGTGTCTGTTCAAAGTAGGCTGTTACGTGTGTGCTAATGATGCACCCAGGGTATTTATTTAAATGCCCTAACCTGATTTGAATTGGTGATAGAAAACCTCTTTCTTGCTTTCTTTTTCTTAAAAAGCTTATTTCTCACGTTCATATTTTAATTTGGTTTGTTCCCTAGCAGGCAGATGAGAGATGCTCAGGTTACCTTATCTTGTAATCTTTCATTTATTTACGGTAGATTATTTACTATTTCATATGCCACTCTGGATTTAGCTAAAGACTTGGTTCTAGAAGATGTCAGGGCATTTTATCTGTGTCCCTCCAGGGGAAATGCATACAGTCTGACTTCTTGGAGTCGATCCATAATTAGAAGAAAGGCGTTTTAGTTAGATTATCATTGTAGATCTAACATGCCCTGATGAAAATGCCGTTCTCCTCTGGTGTGTCCTTTAGTCACAATGTGAAGTGCTCATTTCCTCTAATTGAAGCTCTTTGAAGTATGTTGTGTTGGCTCTGTGGTTTCGTATTTACTCAAAGAAACTCACTGAATAAATGGACTGGTTAGTTAATTGTATTTCGCCTCAGCTTTTGGCACACGAGTGTAAGAGGTGAGAAATGTTTCATGTGTCTCTTGCTTCATAGAAAGAATACAGCAAGAAAAAAAGGATGGGGAAGCAGGTCCCAAGACCCCTGGGCTCAGCCTTATGCTGGAGAAAATTGTACTGAAATCAGAGTGCGATGCTGCCCAGGGTCACCATCCCTGGGGAGGTTCCAGAGCTGTGGGGATGTGGCACTGAGGGATGTGGGCAGTGGGCATGGTGGGGGTGGGTTGTTGTTGTTGTACTTGGGGATCTCAGAGGTCTCTTTCAGCCTTCGTGGGTGCATGATTCTGTGCTGAAATGAGAGGAGATCCCTGAAGTCTGAAGCACTTTGTTTGCATTCTTGACGGTATTGGAAAATTTTCCTTTTCTTGCCCCCTTGCCAAGTGTCTCACACTTCTGCAAAACTAAAGCAGCACAATGATGAAGCCTTTAGGACCCTTGAAGACCTTTTCATTTTATACAGCTGTTGCCAAAACCAGTAATTGTTAATGATTTGAATGCAAGTCCTCAAGGAACTGAATAGATCAATTAATACATTTTACAGAGGTCATCAGACAGCTGCTAGATGGTGATGAGTTTCAATCACTACTGAACCAAGATGGATTAAGCTAATTACATTACCAATTCCCTGAACCATCCCATGCTCTGCGTGTTTTTGTGATACTCTGTTCTTTTCTTTGTCTGTGAAAACATTCAAAAGAACAAGAGGAAGAATACTGACCAAGAAATGTATATAAGCCACATTTTAAGACCAACCTGCTGTACGACTTACTGAAAGTCTTTCTCATGTGCACAGCCCTTGTTTCTCTGTGGAGGATCAGAAGGATTTGGAAGTATTTAGTAGTGCAGTTGGGTGGTGTTTCATCAGAAGTGCCATGGTGGAGCTTCAGCAGCAAGGGGGAGAAGAAGGGTTTGGAATTGCTGTGGAATACTGCATTAGACAGAAGAGGAGCGTGGTTGGGATGTCCCACTAATTGTCATGCTTCCTTTTCAGCTTTACTTGGTTGCATAAATCCTCCTCTTCCCAGAGGGACAGTCTGACAGTGAAGGCAGTGGAGAAGCCAAATCTGCTCTTCCTTTCCAATTTCATTTTAGAACCTCCCTTGGAGAGCTCGAAGAGGGGGTCTTGCCATTTGCAGACCCACTGATTTACGTTCCCACAGGCAGACTGTAGGTTTTCTGGCTGGACTTTGCTGCCAATCATTGATTCAGAACAGAACTCTCTCTTTTAAGGAGCAAGCTTCCCAATATAAACATGTTGTAATTCTGATGAACTTTGCCTTACAGTCATTGAGCTCAGAAAGACGAGGTCTGGTTCCCAGTTGCTGATCTCCAGCAGAAGGCACCATGAAGAGTGACTGACCTGGAGACCTATGCTAGGCATGGGCTGAAAGATCCTTTTTTTTCTTTTTCCTCTTAGTGAAGAGCTAAAGGCAAATAATGACCTATTTCCCAGGGTTGTAAAAGCCTACTTTTGTCCTCAGTCTTTTTTACTAAGCTTTCTCCCTCCATTTTCCTCCTGCTTTCAGTTGATTTTCCCCTGTGTTATTTCTTGTTCAACCAAAGACTTGAAACAAATGTAATTCAGATAAGTTCTGTGCTCTGCTATTTGAGATCTTGGCCTAGGTGACCATAATGGTGCTTTATGGTGCAAGTCTGCTAATGCAGTTGCTTGAGGTTGTTTTGTTTTCCTTTCATACACAGAGACATCCCAATGCCACTGGTGAGCTCTGGAGTGGAGCATGGGAACCTGAGGGAGCTTGCCTTGGCCAGGATGAAAGATCTTGGGACACAGGTGAGGTGTTTGTCAATCAGTATTTGGGGAGAGCTGCTTGGTGACATCACACAAACATCACTTTTGAGAAGAAGTGATCAGAAGACACAATAGGAGCCAGTTTTATTGCTGAATTAAAACAATCTGCCAGCTTTTTTTAAAAAAAAACAACCACCTTGATGATATTTCAGTAAAGCTGGACTAAAATTTGCCTATCTCTGAAGGCTCCTGGTAATAGTGTGTAATATTCTATTTTTTTTTTTTTTTTTTTTGACAGGAGGAAACCTTTTAAGCAGAGAGAAGGATTTATTTTTAATTTGTGCTATTAGAATTTCTCCTTCATTTCTTTTTCCCACGCATGCACTTACTTGACTGAACAATTGGAAGAAAAGCTCTTAGTCTGAGGCCAGACAAATCTTCCAAGAGACATTTCAGCACAAACAAATGAGACTTGATATTCCTGATATTTCTAAGGTCAAATAAAAATACAAGCAGGGGTGGGGAGAAGGAGGGGAAGAAGGAAGTGCATTTATCTTTGAAGTCAGAGGCAGATAGGTGTACTCAGCCTTGATTTTTCTCAGGAGGTTGCTGTGGCACTCAGCATTCACAGTGCCCCACATTGCCTGCTCTGACACTGCTTGCTGGTTGAACCTCTCTCCAAAACCCAGTCATCAGCCACAGTTTGCAGGTCCTGTAACTTCCAGTAATGTCCAGGCTCTGCCTTTTCTTGGGACAGCCAACTTGATAGACAGAGCATCATACAAACCCTGTGCTCCCTGTGTCTGTTCCAAAGAGCTTTCATTGCTTTGGTGTCCTGGTGCAGGGGCAGATCCTCATTGCAACAGTTCCATGCATCTGTGATGTGACTGAGTGCTCCCTCCTTCTGTCTCACCTTTCCTTAAAGAGGTTTTTAAGGCATTAATGCATCCATTGGAATGGGAAAGAGGCAAGAATGGGGCGACTTATTCTGTAGAGAGAACCTGGCTTTGCTAGGAGGGAACTGAAAGCCAAATCCAATTGTGTGGCCACGTGTGCTTCTGGGAGTACTGAGTGAGTTAGATTTTGTGTAATTCCAATTGGGGCATGGGGGATGGGATGGAGAGGGTTTTGGGGAAAAAAAAAAAAACAACAAAACAAGTAAAGGAGTGGTGTGGGACAGTGCAGTAATCTTTTTTGCTTAAATACCCAGGATACTGAAGAAGCGACAATAAAAGCTCCATCTCTTAGTAGCTCCACATAAACTTGTGCTGCTGAACCATGTGATTGGTGTTTAACGTGGATAACTCCTTGCTGCCTTTGCCATCTCACTTGATCTTGCAGCTGCAGTGCAAAAGATCAGCAAATAAACTGCAGCGTCTTCCTTCCTGCTGGCCTTTCTTTATCTACTTAATCTCTCCTAACCTGGCGCCCTGGACTTCCTCCTTAAATCATTCCTCACAATCTCTCTCCAGTAGCAAGCCAAGATTTGGCAGAGAGCTTTGCTGGCCACGAAAGCTCCCATCCCTCCTGCTGGCTTTTCACTTCTAAACCAGGCGGGGGAGACAACCTCCCTGCTGCAGCAAAGCCTTTTCAATTGAACTCTTTAGGGCTACTAGTGAACCCTTCCTGGGTTTGGTGCTAAAACCACATCATTTCATCTGAACTTGATCAAGACCAGCTGGAGAAGCAGGAATATCTGATCTATGGCACTGAGGGCTGAGCCCAGTAACAGAGCTGACCCATTAAGGGCTTGTCAAGCTGGCAGTCTTTGCTGTTAGAAGAACCAAATCTGTAAAAAATCGCTGCTGTGCAGATGATTATAGATTTTAATTTAGTGAGGCAGAAACACTGCAGCTGGTGGAATGAGAGAGCGGTCTGCTGCAGTACAGCTTGAAATACAAGGTTCTGTTGTGATTTTCTTGTGTTGGGGGAGAAAGCAATAAATATGCTTTGTCCTTTCTTCCCTGAGCTTGGAAAAAGAGAGAAGGCCAAGGCAAGGACCTTCAGGAATTAAATATTTGTAGGCTCCCTAGCGGAGCTGAGCTGGCTGTGGCAGTTCTGGCTTATTCCATCTTTGGGGTATGGCTTAATGAGTTTGTTTAAAGGATGGAGATGTTATGCCAACACCACAACTGGTGTCTGTGAATGCTGGAATGGAGTTACTCATGAGCAGCTTTGCTGGAGGTGCAGGGTGCTCAGCCACTGGGTGCAACTGGAGATACGTGAACGTTGGATTGAGACACTGAGTTTTAGAACATCTTCCCAGAATATGTTGTCCTGAGGTTCCTCATGAAGAGTGGGTGTAGTTCAGCCTTACCGTGCTGCTTGTGTAGTCAAAAGTCATAAAGCAGAGAAGAGTTTGTCTGCTCTAGAATCCTGATACTCCAGTGAATCCCAGTTTCACCGTAGCCCACAATAACAACCCCACTTCTTTTCCTGATATTTGGGAGATTGTTGTTTTCTGTTGACAGTGGAATTCAAAAGCACTCAGAGAAGGACGAGGCATGAGATAGGGCTGTGCTTGTGCTGGGTATCCTGAATTTATGTGGGAACTGGATTTTGACACGTTCTGTTTCTGTCTCAAAGTCTGGCTTTTGGAAGTACGCAGCCAGGTAGGCCTCATTGCTGATAGAACGATTACAGCCCATTGGCCAAGGTTGTCTTCAAGTGCTGCAGCACCCGTGGAGTGAGCAAGCATTTGAAACAGCTGCCTTGAGTAAAAGTACTTCTTGGCTGACAAGAGTTGGATTAACCTTCACTTTGGATGTTAGATAAACCTGCTAAGATGTGCACGCATTTTGGTCTTTGCAGTAGGACTGCTTATACTGTCACAACTGTTCACTGACGTGAGTGGCTGCCAAATTACTCAGCTTCCACTGGTTTTGTTGAGGCATACAGAAGCTTATGCAAGCTATAACCCATCTCAGAAGCACTGAGCTTGGGGGTTTTTTTCCTCTTCTGTCTGACTTCTAAACGAAGAAAGATTTTGGTTGTCTTTGTTTTCTCTTTTATTGGTCCCAAGCATCTGTGATGCACTGTGGAAGCCAGATTAGCATCATACTTGGGCAGGATTTCCACAGCAGTTCCTGTGTGATCATTTAAGAGCAATAATAGGCTTGCTGAAAATCGCAAAAGGATTATTTGAAGACTTTAACACCTTAGCATAAATTTGCCGCTGTTACACCTTTCAAATGTAGGGTAAAAATGAATTATGCCAAAGCCTTTCTCTGTTCTTTTGTTTGTGTTGACTTCCCCTCCATACCCTGCTAGTTGTGAATCAAAGGGTGCATTTCCTCATGATCCATAATGGTTGCTTAATGGTGAAGTTATTTTTTACCAGCATGTCTTTCCTTTTAGCATTAAGACCTCTTTGCAAGGTGTATTAGGGTCGCATTGGTGAGCATTTTCATTTCAAATTCATCTCTGTAACTACATGCTATTTCAGCTTAGTTTTGAGCCCAATGGGTGGCTGGAAATCTGTGCATTTCAGAGCCTAATGTATTTGTTCTTTGTGTTTCTTTCCCTTTCTCTTCCAAGTGTCGTGATGTAAGGACAAGAGAGGTTGGAATTCAAGAAATTCACCATAAAGTGAGACCATATCAGGTAGGTTTTGTCTCTTTCCTAGGAGCTTGCTTCAGACACAATTTTTTATGTGCATTTATGTGGAGGTGTTGGGACCCATTTGGTGGACATCCATTCCTGTGGTTTGCCTTTGTAGCTGGATCCAATTTTACATTTATTTTCTCAGCATGTTTGGATGATTTTTCTTTAAGTGCTGTCACCTGCTGAAATTTATGGACCACCATGTTCAACAAACTGACTGTAGTCACCAGTTATTTGAGTATTTGCACTACGACTCTTTCTTTTGCTTTTCAACCTTCCCTTTTCTCCCCCCTCATTTAAAAACATCATCAACAACAACAACAACAGATTTAGAATATACCAAAACCACTCTATATGCATACTGAACAGGAATGAATATTTAGCAAGATTAATTCACAGCCTTTTGTGGGAAGGCTGTGTTTATGTAGGCAAACAGTGCACGTATAAATCCACTTCTGCACGTGTATGTATATATTTCTGAGTAGATGCATTTAGCAATGACACACATGCTGTGTTTTTCCTTCCTAAAATAGTCCACAAAAAGATTACTGTGCTTGTTTTATGGAAAGGAAAATATGTGCTGTTGAATTTCTAATATCCAATTCGGGAAACCAATTCTGTGTCTCTAATTACAAGAAGGGGTCTATCCTTCTGGAAAGTGGTCAGGATGTCCATGGCCACGTTTTGGACTCAAGGGGGTGAGCTTTCTAAGATCACATTGGCTTGGAATCCATACAGTAGAATCATTCAGGTTGGAAAAGACTTCTAAGATCCCCAAGTCCAACCCCTGCCCATCCCACCATGCCCACTGCCCACATCCCTCAGTGCCACATCCCCACAGTTCTGGAACACCTCCAGGGATACTGACCCCACCACCTCCCTGTGCAGCTGTGCCACTGCATCACTGCTCTTTTGGAGAAGAAATCATTCCTAATATCCAACCTGAACCTCCTGTGGCACAACTTGAGGCCATTACCTAGATGTATGCTGTGGCCAATAAATGCAGCATGGAAGTGTATAGTGATCCCTGATAAATTATCTTGTTCTTACCAACCTTTGTAAGAACTGAGGCTGTGCAGCTCATTTGTACATAGGCCATGCAGCCTTTCTGCTCTCTTCCACTTGTCTGATCTGTGGTCACTTCACAAAATATCTTCCAAAGATGCCCATTTTCAGCAGTGATCTAAATTGTACATTTCTTGAGTAGTTAGCTATTAGCTTATCACAGGGTTTTCAAAGCAAAGTTGTGTTGAATATTCCCTTTGTTAAGCTCATCTATCCGAATGGCAGGAGGATGTCATTATGTAGTTGCAGCAAAATTTATCATGACAACAAGCAAGAGAAATATTCTGAAAATGGTATAATTTTTCATGAGCTATAGACTAATGACAAGGTATGATGTTTTCTTGGCTTTGTAAGTAAACAACACATCTTCTTGATAAGAGAGGCTATCATGTCAGAACAAAAATGAATTAATTGTTTCCTGTAATTAGTTGCACTTTATGCAGCCTCTTTCTGCTAAGGATCAGTAGGCTGTATGTATTTTTGTAACGGCGATGGTGTGCCTGCTTTTAAAAGTCTTTGAAAGAAAAAAATAAATCAATTTGGAGTAGATTACTTGCCCATAGCTGCTTATTTACACAGCTGTCTCTCAGCTCCCTGTTCAATTAGTGGCATTTCTCCATAGCAGTGGAAGGTTGGAAGGTACTTGCTTGCTCTCAGAGTGGTCAAAGCGGTGCAGCTCTGTGTAACAGCCCTAAAAGTGCTCTGGTGAATTGTCACTGTAAAGAGATGTTGGACTGGCAGTTTTTGAAGGGCAAGAGGCAATAACACTTCCTGCTTTAACACTCGTGTAGGTTTGTATCTGTAACAGGTAGAAGCTACTGTTTCTGCAAAACATGGGTTTTTTTTCTTTATCAAGATAATGATCTTAATGTAGAGTGAGAGCAAGGCAGATTTTAGAGCTCTTTTAGATTGAGTGTAATCTGCACTTGGGTTTTCCCTTTATTTCTCAAGCTAAGTTTGGCAGTCTACCAATGGATGCCCCATCCCTGGAGGTGTTCAAGGCCAGACTGATGGGGCCCTGGGCAGCCTGGGCTGGTATTAAATGTGGAGGCTGGTGGCCCTGCATGTGGCAGGGGGTTGGAGATTCGTGATCCTTGAGGTCCTTTCCAACCCAACCATTCTGTGATTCTGTGAAAAGCCTGTGTATTGAGTATGGTAGATGTCCATATCTACCAGCCAACCTGGAGGTGACCCAGGCTGACTTTTGCCACGTTTCAACTACTATCTGTCTCAGAAGAAAAAGGCTTTGAGCATCTCATGATCGGTCCAACCTCTGAGGGGAATTTTCTTTTAATGCTAGAACCCTCTATTATGCCCAGAAAAGTGGGGAATGCAAAAGATTTTACTGAGTAGGGACTTATTTGAGCAGTTCATGTTGTCTGGTATGTGCTATACAATGCACATAATGCAAAGCCTGCTGGTGAAGGTTCCTGTAGGCTTAGTTCACTTCTGCCTACCAGAGCCTTTTGGATGAGCCAGGGCATGTGGGCACTACTGAAGAGCAAGCAACAGAGCCACATTTTCTGTATTTTTTTTTGAGTTTGCTCTCAGGAGAAATAAAAAGTTTTCCAATCTTGCCATTTTGAACTCTCAACATGACATTTTCTGCTTTGTTTTTGGAAACAGGCATTGAGTTGTTGTGCTTTTCCTCCCCATATGACTTGAACAGCAGAACCTGGTTCTTAAAAACCCTCATGCTCTCCCATTTCCCTGTATGTTTCCATTTTCCTCGTGGCATTAGGTGCACACCAGCAGACCTGGATCAGCCTGTGCCAGCTGTCCTCAAGCTGGAGCGTAGTTGTGCTTGCAGAGAATTTGGCATGTTGGGAGACATCTGTTTGGGCACTTACCCTGTGAGCTGTACGTCAGTGTCGAAATGAGCCTTGCTTCTGTAGTCAGTACAGGATTTAATTGCCAGTTGCCTTCACCCAGGCTTTGTCATGGAGCCGAGCAGGCAGGAGACAGGATCCCTTATGGCTTTTCTGTAAACAAATCTTTAATTCATGGGTTTCTATGTATTAAGGGATTTGTAGAAGAAATACAGGCATCCTTTGCTTGAGGCTTTATAGTAGTACTGGGAAGAGCATGGCAAGGTATACACGGGGATCTTTCACCTCATGAGGTTCAACAAATCCAAATGCAAGGTCTTGCACCTGGGTTGAGGCAACCCCTATTGCCAATACAAGCTGGGGGATGAAAAGGATTGAGTGCAGCCCTGCTGAAAGAGACCTGGGGGTGCTGGTGGATGGGAAGCTGGTTGTAAGCCAGTAGTGTGTCCTCCAGAAGGCCAACTGTGTCTTGGGCTGCACCCAAAGCAGTGTGGCCAGCAGGGTCAGGGAGGTGATCCTGCCCCTCTGCTCTGTGCTGTGAGGCCTCACCTGGAGCACTGCATCCAGGTGTGGAGTCCTCAGTACAGGAGAGACATGGAGCTGTTGGAGGGCATCCAGAGGAGGGCCACAAAAATGATCCCAGGGATGGAACAGCTCTCCTGTGAAGACAGGCTGAGAGAGCTGGGGCTGTGCAGCATGGAGAAGAGAAGGCTATGAGGTGACCTGAGAGCAACCTGTCAGTGTCTAAAGCAAAACTACAGGATTGAAGGGGACAGACTCTTTATCAAGATCTGTGGTGACAGAACAAGAAATAAGGAAAAAGTATTTTACAGTGAGGCTGGTGAAGCACTGGAACAGGTTGCCCAGTGATGTGGTTGATGCCCCATCCCTGGAGACTTTCAGAGTGAAGCTGAATCAGGCCCTGGCCAACCTGATCTAACTCTGGTATCCCTCTTCATCGCAGGGGAGTTGGACTAGATGGCCTTCAGAGGTCTCTTCCATCTCTAAGGATTCTGTGATCAATTCTATGTGCACCATCAGGGAGTAACTGTTGGATACACCAGTGTCACATTTGTGCACGGGACATCCACTGGTATTGGTCATTCACATTTGAATTCCTAAAATTAAAGGAGTGTCTCAAAGTGATGGTGGCATAGTGATGTGATGGTTTTAGTTTTGCTCATGGGTTGGTTTTTGAAGCAAACGTTCTGATCATGAAAGCATTGGGAAGCACAAAGCCCTGAGGCCTTTCAGATAAATTTAGAAAGCACCTTCCATGAGCACACCTACTGTACACCATACATTAATGGGTGCTTAGTTCTAGGGGTGAGACTAGAACTGAAAACCCCCAAACACGTACTGTGGGGTCACCAGGTCCTCAGTCCCACAGGCTGGATGGGGGCTGCTACTGCTCATCTGATGGGCAATGTGGGAAAGAATGTTGGTCTGCTTAGCAGCTGGGTGTTGCAGGTGGGCAAGGGAGCCCCTGCAGCAAGGATGGGTATGTATTCCAGCTATAGCAGCTCAATTCAGAGCACGAATAGAGTGACTCATCATGTCACCACAGATGTGCCTTTATTATCATCAGCGACAGGATACATCAAATTAACTGAGTGAGAACTCTACTACAAAGAAATGCAACTACCAGTGTGTGTGAGATTGGATCAGGTCTCACCTTGCTGTAAGTCTGAACCTTTGTAGTTTCTTGGGTCCTGGGGCTGCTCCTTAGTGACAGAAGGTCACAACTATCTGAAAAAGAGGTTTTTTTCCTTCTTTCTGCTCCCTTCTCCATCAGTTATTCTTTATAGCTTCTAGGTGCTCTGCAGAACTAATTTCATCTACCCAAGCATGATCTATATTGTATTCTCCACAGTCAGTCAGCTCTCACCTAGCTTTTCCCTTCCACTTGTTGTGATCTTCAGAACTGCCTTTATCTAGATAACTATCAAAACTGGCCAGCTCTTGGGGTACCTGTTGGGGTGGGTTTGGTGTCTCCGGTACCATCTGAAGGAATGAAAAAAACACTTCCTACAGATTCTATAGAAAGTACATGTATAATTTATGATGTGTTGCAAAGAATTCTGGAACTCAGTAGGTGCTCAGCACCTTTTCAGATCCACTCCTGTTGCAGTTTGCACTTGTAGTTACATCCAGTGTGTTTGCTGGAAGGAACCAGTTCATATTTAGTAAAGTTGGCTGCTTCACAGACACCTCAAGTCTTTTCTTTTGCACAGCAGCAAAGACATGGCCCTAAATGCAGGTTTGATGAAGGCAAATGCAACACTACTCACTCTACATTAGCTAATTTGTCTTTGGAATGGAAATTCACTTACAGCAATCCCTTGGATACTGGAAAGAGTTGCAGAAGCTCAGGTATCTTAAAAAATCTGGTTTTAGATTGCTGACTTACCAACAGATAGCCATGTGGGTTACCAGCCTTTCTGGAAAGCATGCAAATAGGCATTGAAGACTAGTTCAGACCCACTGATAAATACATTTCTATTAAAGTAGCCCATGTCTTTAGTTTGACTACAGGAACATCATTTCTTACCCAGTATTGCTAAAATCCATCTAGAATTAAATTGGCCTATAAGAAAGCACTTCATGTTTTCTCTGAATCATAATAGTACACAAAATTGGTTTTTGTCTTTTCAACGCGTTGCTGAAGTATTTTAACAGGTTTTTCTTTTTTTCTTCGTATTCTTCATTACTTCTTCTCTTTGACCAGATTGAATTAATTAGAAGAGATTATGTGGCTAATGGTGGCTGGGAGACCTTCCTGTCCTACGAAGACCCAGAGCAGGACATTCTCATTGGCCTCCTACGACTGCGAAAATGCTCAGAAGAGTCCTTCAGACCTGAGCTGAAGGGGGGTGTTTCCATTGTGAGGGAGCTGCACGTGTATGGGAGTGTGGTCCCAGTGAGCAGTCGGGATCCTTCCAAATTTCAGCACCAGGTACCTCAAACCATCTTTATTTTTCATCTGTACACCCTGCTCCTTCCACTCCTTCCAGTATAATTGGAGAAGGACCTTCATTCATTGTTTGGATTATAGTCCGCTTCTCCATCTCCAAGCAGTTGGAAGAGAAGGTTATCAGGAGTAGTTAACATGAATTCACTGTGGGGAAGCTGTGCTTGATCAGCCTAGTAGCTCTCTATGATGTCATCACTGACTGGATAGATGGGAGCACAGCAATGGATGTTGTGTATCTTGACTTCAGCAAGGTGTTGGATGCTCTCATAACATCCTTGTTATGAAACTTAGAAAATGTGGGATACATGAGTGGATGATGAGGTGGGTTGAGAACTGGCTGACTGACCGAGCTCAGAGGGTTGTCATCAGCAGTGTGGAGTCTGTTTGGAGGCTGTAACTACTGGTGTTCCCCAGGTCAGTGCTAGTCCTGGTCTTGTTCAGCATCTTCGCTGATGACCTGGGTGAACAGATAGAGTCCACCTTCAGCAGGTTTGCTGCTGATACAAAGCTGGGAGGATTGACTGACACACCTGAAGGCTGTGCTGCCATTCAACAGGACCTGAACAGACAGGAGAGTTGAGCAGGGAGGAGCCTTATGAAGTTTAACAAGAGCAAATGTAGAGTCTTGCATCTGTGGAGAAATAACCACATGCACCAGTAGAGGTTGGGGGATGACCTGCTGGGGAGGAGCTCTACAGAGAATGACTTGGGGTCCTGGTGGACTGCATGTTTGCCATGAGCCAGCAGTGTGCCCTCATGGCCAAGAAGGCCAGTGGGATCCTGGGGTGCATTAAAAAGAGCATGGCCAGCAGGGCAAGGAAGGTGATCCTCCTCTATTCTGCCCTGACAAGGCTGCATCTGGACTATTGCATCCAGTTCTTGGTCCCCAGTTGAAAAAAGACAGGGATCTCCTAGAAGGAGTCCAGCAGAGGCCCACAAAGATAATGAAGGGCCTGGAGCATCTCCCATGTGAGGAAAGGCTGGGTCTGTTCAGCCTGGGGAAAAGAAGACTGAGAGGGGATCTGATCAATGTTTGTAAATGTCTAAAGGGAGGTGGGAGGCAAATGGATGAGACCAGGCTCCTCTTGGTGGTGTGTAGCAATAGAACAAGGAGCAATGGCCTGAAACTCGTACGTAGGAAGTACTGTAGGGCACAGGCTGCCCAGAGAGGTAGTGGAGTCTCCTATGGAGTTTTTAAAGACTTGTCTGGACACTGATCTGTGTGAGCTATTGTAGGGAACTGCTTTAGCAGGGGATTGGACTCAATGATCTCTTGAGGTCCCTTCCAACCCCTGCAGTGCTGTGATTCTGTAATAAAAATGCAATTGAATTTGAGCCCCCTTCTTGCATTTCATGTGCTGAAATCCTGCTGCTTCTGAGGTTTTGCTGCTGTGATAGTGTTTAGGCAGTTGCTACTGCTCTGAAAAAAAAAAAAAAAAGCATGGCTGAAAACTGTCTGCCTTATTCATGTCTGTACAGTGCGAGAGCCCATCTATGCTGGTGCTCATTTGGCTTTCAGGTGCTAAGCGTCTCTGGTTCTGAAGTGTGTTTCCTTTGATATCCTGTACTGTACATCAGACTTCACTGCAAAAGTAAAACAGAGGGGACGTGTCCACTGTGTGGGTGTATTTCCTTCTAAAATGGATCTTGTTCAGTAGAGAAATTTCACTTCTGAAGCCTGAAGTAGTTGCAGATGGGAAGGTGAGCGGTTTTGAGGCCTACCCAGTTTCCTTTCAAGGAACCATTTATTGAAGAAAAGAATGTCTATAATTCCTATTACCAAAACAGAAGAAACACAGCTTTGGTTCTGAGATGTTTCCTGGTGCAGGTGGTTTGGGGAGGCTTTTGAGTAAAGCCTCTTCGTTATGCCCGATGGTTTATTTTTGCTTCAGAGCCACTTGTGAGGCCATTTCATCTATAGCTTAAAAGCATGTGAAGAATGGACTGGAAAGCTGTGTTTCTAATTCCTCACAGCGAGACGTAAGAAAATTGCACATTATGCCTCTGCAGAGTATAACATGCTGTGGCTTGCAGTGAGCAAAAATGGGAATTACATTTTGCCCTGGTAGATGTTGAACCTTTCGAGTGAGCTTTTAAAAAAGCAATCAGTTTGTCCTCTGTGCCAGAACTGCTCAAGGCTGATGTTTTAAATTAACTTCCTTGTATTTATTAATCATTCCCTGAGTATATGTGCATTAAGATGCAGTTTGGCTAGACGCTGATGACGTTTAGCCGTGAGGCAGAGACTGTTTAAAAACAATAATTAATAAGGGAATAGTGAAGGCATCTACTGTAAAACGGCTAACATTTCAGAATTTTGGAAGGGAAAAGTGGCCATCCACAGTATTAGAGAATAATTTAAAAAGCAGTTGCCAACCACGAACATTAAAATAGGCTGGAAGTTGGAATGTCACGGTGTATGACGCACTGATGTTCATTTGCAATAGTCAGTTGTCGAGACATTAAGCAGAAAGGGTTCTTTGCAGTTATGGGGACAATTTCTGATTAGAGCAGCACTTCAGAAGACTTCACTGTATTACTTAAAAATGCCTGTAAGTGTTAAGTGTTTTTAGAATTAAATCGCATCCGCTTCAGTTTCAACGCAGCCCAAGTCTGTACATTTTGTCAGGAAAACAGATGAACAAAGAGCCAAGCGTAATTCCTGCATCCTAATGTTAGAAGTGAATTAATCCAATCAATTATCCCCAGATATATAGGACAACTAAGTTAAGTTAAATAGAGTGGAAAGGCTATTCCCTTGTTTCGAAGCGTTATTTTGATGGCAGTAGTGCTCATGCTGTGCAAGATTTCCGAATGTAAATAGAGGCATGGATCTGATCCAGAGTATTAACGTGGTCTTCTACAATTCCTTTTGCTTTGGCATCTTCCATTCTATGAGCTGAGCCTCGTGGCTGTGCCCTGAGATCCGGAGAGCGGTGTGGGTCTGCAGAAGGCACATGGGTTTTGAGGATGGCCCCAGGTGGGTCCTGTAGATGGTAACAGCTCCTGGAGGGCGGTGCAAATAACAACTGTGAGGCAACAGGGCACTGGTTGTACCAAAAAGCCAGTGGTGTATCAGAAATGCCCATGGTTGTATCAAAAAGTCAATGGTTATATTGGAAAGACCAATGGTTATGTCGGAAGGGTCAATGATTATATCAGAAAAACCAACGGTTATATTGGAAAGGCCAGTGGTTATATTGGAAAGGCCACTGGTTATAATGAAAGGCCACTGGTTATAATGAAAGGCCACTGGTTATATCGGAAAAGCCAACAGCAGCTCTCTGCCTCTGCCACAAGGTGCCATGGTGTAGCCACATCCATTGCAATTGATGGCAGACTTGCAATTCGTGAGCGTATACAACTGCATCCAATGCCTGTGCTCTGGGTTTGTTTAATTCCCAAATATAAACCCAAGTATAGCAAGACAACTGTCAGGATGGGTGATGGCATGATTGTTGTTTGGTAATTTGAGCAGGACAGACCAGCTCAGCGCCAACTTGACTGTCACAGGGTTTAACTTCATTCTGTTCCTGCCCCTGAGAAGCTGTCAGGCACTGGAGCTGCCTGTGAATAATTTCACAATTAATAAAAAAAACACGAAACCCAACCCAATGGTGAGAAAGCTGCACTGTGAAATTCAGCATTAGCACATCTCTGTACAGTGCTCTTCCTCCACTAAGATTTTGGTCGTTCCTGTGCCTGTACATAAGAAGTCTCCTGGAAGTGTTCTGATGCTTACAGTCTGACCTTGCTTATGCATTCTGTTTTTACAGAACTTATATTCTTGTTATTTCTTCTGCTACAGGGATTTGGCATGCTACTCATGGAGGAGGCAGAAAGAATAGCCAAGGAGGAGCACGGGTCATGGAAAATTGCTGTAATTTCAGGTATCTTTGCTTTATCCCCCCCCCTTTTTTTTTCCTCTTAATCTGAAAACAAATCCACTACAGCTAATGCCAACTGCTGTGACCATTGAAATGAGCATCAGCTTAGTAACTGAGTTGAATTCCAGCCTGGCTCCATCCAACGCAGTGCTGCCATGGTGAGCAGCGTGCCAAAGGATGCTGCAGGGAGTCATCCTGCTCTGGCTGCCAAGGAGCCATGGCCATGGGTGCCTTCCTGCTCCCAAGGCTGCTATTTCTGAGCTCACTGCTTTGGCCTCGTCACAGGTTGTTATTGCTGAAGGCTGACTTTCCAGAGCTTGTGAGGATAGAAAATTGCCAGCCTCCATTTTAGAGCCTTTCTGCAAGTGCCATCATTAGGGTGGACAGATGTGCTTTTAGGATACATTAAGCATTATCATGGAGAAGCAAGCTGTATAAGAAAGAGCTGCAGCCCTTTCTCCTGTTTCATTTGCAAGGCGCTGTGACTGAGGAGAGCAATGGCAGCTCACGGTGTGTGTGAAGTCAAGGTCAGAACTGCCTTTGTGCATTAATTTATTCCTATATTAGTGGTTACTGTGGCTATAGAAAGTTGTTGCAGGCATATAGGTAACAGAGGAGGCTGGCCAAGTGGGTGCTAAGGAACTTGGCCAATAGAGCTTTAATACAGATTTACACAAAAATATAATCCTCTCCCACCAAAATAAGCCACCGAAAAGCAAAAAACCACCAGTTTGATCCAAGCTGCTGAGTGCTGAATGAAGAACCTGTGTGTGTGCTTGCTGCTGGGTCCTGTCACGGGCTGTCAGACAACTGGAGGGGGCCATCTCAACAAGTGTCTGCAATGATGGCCAGCATCTGAGTGAGGGTGAGGTGCAGGTCATAACCTGATGCTTAGCATGGAGACGTGGCCCCGAGGGACGTGGGTAGTATTGATGATGGGACAGCAGGTGGACTTGATGATCTCAGAGCTCTCTTCCAACCTTAATGATTCCATGATTCTACAATTCTGTAAGCTTGCATGGTGATGATGGGTTGGCAGTTGGACTTGATGGTGTTAGAGCTCTCTTCCAACCTTAATGACTCTGCATTCTCTGGGTTCCTTGCTCTTAAGACATAAGGCAATAACGTTTCTCTATTTGCTGCTGCAGACGAGTCAGTTTGAATCTCATGTGGTTGAGAAATGCCCATACCTGGTATTTCCTCAGTAAAACTGAGAAAGTGGAAACGTTTTCTTTTGTACGAACAACATCCTGAGTTGGGATGCGTGGGGGAATGCGTGGTGGTAATCCCTCTGTGATAAAGAACATTTCGACAGGAGCAGAAAATGTACAGCAATTACTAAAAAGAAAAAGAGATCTGTTACTAATTTTACCTGTAGTTTAGCAAACTGATACACAGAATGTTTTCTTTGCGTTGAAATGCAGTGCCAGAAGCCTGCCTTGGCTGCATGTAGTTTGTGTCATCGCAGGAAGATCTCAGCTGTGATTTTTATCTTCTTTTTCCCCCAGACTGTAAAGTACAATATGGTACAGTTTGTCTTTATAACAGAATACTGCAGCATCTGCAAAGAGCAGTTTTCCAGCTGTTTCCTTGGAGATGTTATCGCTTGAATTTCAACTCTCCTCTAAGTTTTATCTGAAATACAAATGCAGCCAGAAGTTCTTTCTCCATTGGAGGATGAACTTGCTTTTGCTACTTCTGCTTTCGAAATTCATTTTTAATCTGGGAACCCATTGCAACGTCTCCAACATATTGCAAAATTTTCACTGCCATTTGGAGAGAAACACAGAAGAGAAATCTACTTCGAAGATGTCTCTCATAGGGCCCTTTCTCTCATTTTTGTACTGCGTATTTTATTAATGCTTTGTTGCAGTGGTTTATTTAATGGTGTCCTTTCTTCAGCAGTGTTTTCCAGTGTGGCATTTAATGGCTACATCAATACTAGTTAATTAAATAGTACCAGAACACACAGTGTGTGGAGTGTGGGAAATGGGTATGTCAGGGGGCTCCTGGAGTTGTAGAACTACAGAATGGTTTGAGTTGGAAGGGGCCCTTAGAGGCCATCTGCCCCACTGCCTGCACTGAACAGGGACACCACAGCTCCATCAGTGCTCAGAGCTCCATCCAGCCTGACCTTGGCTGCCTGCAGGGATGGGGCACCCACCTCATCTCTGTGCAACCTGTGCCAGTGCCTCACCGCCCTTATTGTAAACAACTTCTCTGTATCCAATGTAAATCTCCCCTCTTTGAGTATGAAGCCATTTCACCTTGGAAACGCACTTAATTCCAACAGATTAAGATAACTTTGAAAGAAAGCATTTTCATACAACATCCAAAAGAAGTGAAAAACAGGAAAGGAAGGAAAGAAGAAAGCCCTATGCCTATAAAGGAAGGAAGGAAAAAAGAAGTGCCTTTACAAGGAAAGAAGAAATGCCTGTAAAAGAAAGAGGAAAGCCCTATAATGTGCATTCAGTGAGGCTGCAGCAGAAGCACTGCCACCCAGGTGGCCTGCAGCCCTTCTGACAGAGGCAGCAGTCACAATCCTGCCCCCTGCACTGAGTCCATCAGATCCTCACTGCTTCCAGACCTCCCTCCTCCACAGCAGCACATGTGAACTGCCACAGCTCATTTTCTTCTGTCCGGATGCCCTGGGGGACTCCAGGCTGCTTTCTTCCCACGTGTAACCCGGTCAGTGTTCTTAATGAAAGGTGATGTCACGTCCCCACAAGTGCGGATGTCCCTTTGCTCAATCAGGTGCTGTGTCTTGCACTTTGCCACATCTTGCTCTGAGGAGGGCTGAGATTCCTCCCCCTGCAGCACATTTTCATCTTCTCTATCAGGCACTGCTATCAAATCACTGATACAAACCTGCAGCTGAGAGACAAGTGAGTAATTTACGATTGCCTCCTGATTAAGATCAGTGGGACCGTGATAATCCACTTGGGGTGACTGATCCCAGCATCTTTCTCCTGAGCCAGGCACCCACAGTCATAAGGCTGTGAATGGAAATGAAACCAATCCCACCCGTTTTCTGCAGTCCCCACAAGAGATGAGGTGGTTCGTGGCTGTTGGTGTGACTCATCCCCCAGTCTGTTGGTGCTGCTCAAGCATACTGCCTCATGCATTTAAGGAAACTGCTACTCCTGCCTTTGCCTTTTGCAGTTACAGATAATAACAGAGGTTAGGAACTTTCTAAAAGTAAATCTGATGCATCATACCGGTGTTAAATTCACCTGCAAGGAGAAACATGAGCAGAGCTGGCGTATAAATCAGAGGGAAAGTTCTAGGGCACATTTGATGGTACTCTAAAGTATCTTAATTTGCTCGTGTAAATAGCCCTCTGGTCTCGCTGGACGTAATAAATCACTCAAGTAATCAGCATCCCATACTTTATCTTGGATGTTGATTTGTGGGCTGCCTCGGAGCTTGCTGACTGGCAGGGTGTGCTCTGGGGGCCATAGGATGGAGCTGTGAAGCACTGCAGGAGGATGGATGGGGTTCAGCAGGGCTCTGCTGCCATTGCGGGACGGTTATTGTTAGAAATGCCAATCTCACTGGATGTTAATAAGAGAAGAAGTGGCCTGAGATAAGAGGAACATGGGAATGGTAATGAATTGGCTCTGTGATGATTGCGTGCTTTAGATGGATAGCCTTTGGAAAGAAATTAATTAGATGAGTTTGGGAGAAGCCAAGGATAAACCCATGCTGGTGGATTGGTGCTATGGAATAGCTGCCGTGTAGTTCTTAATGAACTTCAGTTTAGAAGCTTCAGTAATGTAACAACTTTGAAAATAAACCCGATAGTGTCTTAACTGGGATTTCAGTGTAGGCATGAACAGGAATATTGTTCACAGAATCATATCACAGAATGGCCTGGGTTGAAAAGGAGCACAATGCTCATCCAGTTCCAACCCCCTGCTATGTGCAGGTCGCCAACCAGCAGACCAGGCTGCCCAGAGCCACATCCAGCCTGGCCTTGAATGCCTGCAGGGATGGGGCATCCACAGCCTCCTTGGGCAACCTGTTCCAGTGTACATTGTTGTCCTTAAGCAAGAACACGGCTGCAAACCCCAGCATTCTGTGGTTTGGTAGGGAGCTCTTCTGTTTTTATATATGCGTACAGACACATGAAATATCAAAAACCTCTGTTTGTAGCCTGTATTAAAGTCGCATGGCCTAACCTCCATAGTACGAAGCAGAGACTTTCACCTTTCTTTCATCAGCTGTCCCAGCTGAACATATTTTGGAAAATGGGAGCCAGTCTTCGTTTATTATGGCTTTGTACATATGGACGGTCTGCAATCTCTAGGCAATAATGCATTGAGATAAGTTTTAAGTTTTGGAAATCTGATCAGTTCAGGCGTATGGAGCTTTCTGCCTGTTCCTTGCCTGCCTTCCTAGAATCACAGGATCATTCAGGTTGGAAAAGATCTCTAAATTCACCCAGTCCAACCCCAACCCATCCCAACACTGCCCCCATCCCCACAGTTCTGCAACACCTCCAGGGATGGTGACCCCACCACCTCCCTGTTCCAGTCCCATCCAGTTGAATGGATGGAGATACCTTCTTTATGTGCTCCCTTTCCCCATTCTCAACCCAAACGATTCCCTAGCCTACAGAACCCCAATAATAACGATCCCAATGACAGTGATATCAATAGAACACACACAGTGCGTTTGGGTTAGTCAGGATGTATTTAGAAATCAGACTCATGAAGAAATGGAGGTGACTTCCACTTGTAACGCACGGCGGTATAAATAGACCTGAATCAGATCTGTGAGCAAGAGCAGTTCTTAAGGATTTAAAAAGAAATAGTTTTCTTTCATGGGAATCTTCCTCTCTGACCAGCAGTGTTCCTGCACCGCCCACCGGTGCTAATCCTCCTTTTCAAGGCTGCAAGAGGTGAAGGGATTAAAGCTTGTTTTCAGTGAAAGCTTTGAGTGTAGGTTTCCTCAAGTCGTGGGTTTCATGGTTACAACCCGAATTTGATGTGGGCTCACTGTCCAGCTCTCCAACCGCTGCTTTAGGCGAGCATTACGTGTGCCTTCAGGCAGGCTTACCTGCAGCATGCAGTGCTCACTGCTGGAGGCTGATGGGGAATGAGGCCATCCTGCCTGGGGTACCAGCAGAGCAGGGTGAGGACTTCTCCCTTTGTCAAGAACTGATTGCTCGTGAGAGTTAGCAGATTTTCTTTCTCAATTACATACAAACAAATGCCATCAGTGCCTGCATTCCTTCGGAGTACATTTGCTCGCGCTCCTAGGAGCAAATTTCAGTGCTTCCCAGCGGACTCCTACCAGAGTATTTTGTTCTCCCTGCTGTTCTTGGAATAAGCAGGTTCAGCTGAACCTGTCTTCTCGTAATGCATCTCTTTGCTCTTAGAGGTGTTTAATCTGCAGGCAAAAAGGGAAAAAGACGCAGCAGGGTTTAAGCGGGTTGCCGTCGCTTATTGCAGCGGTGCCTAAAAAGCATGCAAGGTTACTTCCAAACAAAGGAAAATCTGAGGTCCCCGGCGTTGGGAACCCAGGAGCCATGGCAGGCAGTGAGCCGGGGAATGATGCACGGAGCAAGCGGGGCTCTACAGCAGCTGCCTGACAGAGCGTCTCGTTAAATATCACTTCATTTGAAGAGGGCCGGTGGGAACGGCACATTTAATTGACTATGGAATCAATGAGTGCTTTTGTAAGGGAAGATGAGCGTTTGCAAGGCAGGAAGGGCACTTTGGGTTCTGGTACCACGGAGGGAAGTGATGGTAGCGATGTGATGGGGAACGAGAGAAGTCATTGCTTTGGGTGCTGGTGGTGCAGTGTCGTGTCTGAGCGTTTGACCAAGCAAACCAGAATCCAATCTTTGCAATAATGGGGCAGAGCCGGCGCTGCTCTCCCTGCTCCTTCGTGCCCCCCACCACCTAAATCAAAGAGCAAAGTAAAAAAAAAAAAAAAAGCCAGTGCCTTGTTTATCATGAAGTCGTTGCTCATTTAAGGTAATTTTCTGCATGAGTGGTGCCTTTCTACTCTTCTGATGTGAGTAGTGTATTAGTATGCAGGCTTGGGTAGCTGAATGGTAGACCCTGGAGGCATCACTCCATTATTCAGAGCTCTGGGGAGGTCTGATCTGAAATGTCTGTTTTTCCATTTTCCAGTATTTGTAATTGCATGTGTGTTTTCTTTGCCTTTTGTTGTTGTGGTTTTTTGTTGTTGTTGTTTTTCGGTGTTAGTTTTTTATTTTCTTTTTCCTTCTAGTTGTACCTGCTTTGAATCTACATCTTTGTCCCCTCTAAAGAAGTCCCCTCCCCCCAAACTATACTAAAACACGTGTAAACATATTGCTTCTCTGATGTCCACAAGTCCTTTAGGCATTTTAGTTTGGAAACATCCAAACATGGTGCTTGAGCCCAGTGGCTGGGCCTGGGAGCTCGCTGTGCTTGTCATCACTTCTCCCTTTCTAGCAGCAGTCAGTGCTTGAGCTCTGAGTTTGGTGCTTGAGTTCTGCAGTCAGCATTTCCTCTCCTGTTGGAAGGATGCTGCTCTTCCAATCCCTTCTGCTCCTGTTCCACCATCCGAGCGGCAGGTGGGATCCGGGTAAGTTCAGTGTGGAGGCTCTGTCTCCTGTTCTGCACTCTGCAGGTCTCAGCACTTTCCTTTGGGAGTCAGTGAAGAGCAGTTGCATGCAGTGACTCAACCGATTTTTTTTCGGTCAGAACGATGGGGGATGATTTAGAACAAACAAGCAAACTGAGCCCTTGTTACCCGTGTTCCTCCCAGCCCGCAGCGTAAGCATCGCACAGCCCTTGCACCTGTTGTTCCTCTGTCCCATGTGCAGCACGTGTGCTCCAGATCGTGGCTTTGCAGTGGGCCACATCAGTGTCATTTCTGACACTGCAGTACCGGGTGTCTGGGGAAGGGAAGAAATAGCAGGTAGGGATATGACATCTTCTTGCCCTCCGGCCGTTTGCTGCCCAAGGACTTCTGGAGTTGCAGAGTGCCTTTGTATTTGATAGCCCCCGGGGACTTGCTGCCTTGCCAGTCTGTCTGCCTGCAGCAGCTGATAAACTTCTCTCCTCATCTCTTTCCATTCTCCGTCCCTTTCTGTGAGCTTTCTGGTGTTGGTTGGAACGCTCGTGTTGTATCTTGATCTTGGGAGAGGTCATCCTTCAGACTAAGTCGAGGTGGACAAAGGACAGCCCTCTTTGTAGGTTTTCCTAGTGTCTCCTTGAGCATTTCCATTAGCATAATTTTGACTTTGCTGCTTGCATTCCATAAGTAGCCCCATGGATCCCTAGTCCTGTAAGCAGTTGTATGGGATGTGCACACCAGTGACTAAGGTAAGACGTGAGTTAGTGGGCATGGTGGGGATGGGTTGGGGTTGGACTTAGTGATCTCAGAGGTGTTTAACAATCTTAATCATTTTGTGGCTCTATGACAGTGAGACTGGAGTTTCTACACTGCAGTGCTTTGGTTTCAGGAGAATTTCATGTTTAAAGAATTACACCATTTCTTTCACACAGCACCAGCCATGAGCTCATGGAAAGCACTGTGTAACAAATTCTGAAATACCAGAAGTCCCAAGGGGCAAACGTGAAGGAGATCAAGGTTGGATGGGGCCCTGGGCAGCATGCTGTAGTGCCTATGGCTGGGGTTGGAACTGGGTAATCTTTGAGGTTCCTTCTGACCCAAGCCATGCTATGAGTCCTCCCCCTCCTAAACAGTAGAAGCGTACAGCTCTTGTCTTAGTGTGCTTGAGCAAATCCATCCACTACGGATCCTTCGTTTTCCCTTTAAGCACCAGCATGATGACTCTGTTGTCACACTCTCATTTTGGAGGCTGCCTTTTACAGTAACGATGACCAAAGAGATTGAAGCTGGTGCTTTACAACTACTTGAAACATCCGAGCAATAAAATTTCAAGAGCGGTACTCTTCTCTTTACAATACAGTAGTTACGCATCGTGCTGCAAAACAGGCAGCAGAAATGTTTCCCTACTTCCTTTTAAAAGGAAAAGAGACAGCCATGTGTTACAGGCTGCACGGGCAGCCTGGCTTTGTGCCACGCTTCTCTAGGCTCCTCCAAGCTCTGTGCTGTTGAGCTTTGCCATCTTGCCAAGCCCTTCATCTCACACTCTTCTTTGTGAGAAGGGTCGGGGCAGTGCCAAACCCACAGCCTGCCCTGACACTGTAGCACCTTGCTTTGACTCTGGGTGTAACATTGCTGCATGCTGTGGGCTTTTTGTTTTGTTTTAAAGGATGTGTCCCTTCCAGCCTCAGGGATAACTGCTGATACATGTGTGGTTTTCCAGTGGGATCATCTCAAAACACTAATTGCACCACCCAGCACTGCCTCTCTGTGCCCTTCACATATTCACACCCGTCTGCTCTGTGTGACAGCCACTGAACTTCACAGCAGTGGCACATGCAGAGCTCTGCAGCCACCAGCTGTGTGTCAGCACAAGCAACTGCCCCCACCCAACCCTGGACACGGCAGGGGCTGGGTGCCATTCAGTTGTGACAGCACTTGGCTTGTTGGTTTTACCTTCGCAATCCAAATTTCACCTGCTGAGATGAGGCTGTGACTGAGGATTCCTTTCATTCCCAGCAGAGGAACCAAAGGTATCCAGCTTCCTAATAGCTGTCTCCGTCCCCATCCACCTATCCTAAAGCAGCTGCTAAAAGGAGTCAGACAACATTATGCTCCTGTTTCATCCTTATGGGACTGGTGTCTTTCTGGCTGACCCTGGGGGCACGCAGTTTGCAGCAGGTGCCTGGCGTGGTGAACCTGGAAGCCATGATGCCGTAAGTGAGGCCAAGGGCAAGGGCCAGGAATGCACAGGCAAAGCAGTTATGTGTTGTGAGGACTGTAAATGACTTTTTCCTACGCTAAAAGCCAGCTCTATAAATACAGTGCTCCTGCACGGAAGAGCTTTTTCAACTGCAGCAGTTGCTGTGACGTCTGTCAGCGTTATCTGTTTATGCTGGCATCAGGAAAGCAGGCTGGCTTGGCTTGTACCAACAGGATTGTCTCCTTATCTCTGCACAGAAGATGCTTGTTTGGGAGGGGTGAGGGATGAGATTGAATTCCCCCACCGCAGGTGCTTGCCCTGTTAAAACCGAACACGCCGAGCTCCATTAACAACCACCCTTTCCTTTCTCCTTTCAGTGCAGGCATTTTGTCACCTGTACCTACGCCGTCTCCGCTCGCCTTTAAGCAAAACTCATCGATAATTTGCTCCCAGGCTGGGAGAGGCGTCTGGAACCACAGCCAAATCCGCAGCGGCACACCCCGGCTTCAGAAGCAGCTCTTTAATGTCTCCCTGCAGGGAGATTGCTCCGTAGCCCCGCTCGGTCCCGGTGACGTAGCAGCCTTATCGCGGCGTGGAGGTCTGGCACCGCCGCCGCTCCCCGCCGTAAGCTAATTACTATGCGGCAAGATGATCAGTTTTCCCCCAGACCAGGTTTCTATTTGTGTGCTGTCAAGTAGAAAATTAACATGGACACAGGCCAGGAATGTTTCACGCCCGAGTGCTCCGGGGCCAGAGGTGGCGAGGGGAAGTCAGGCTGGATTTCTGAATGGCGGCGGTGTGGGATCAGGTGGTGCCGGGTGCTTCTTTATGGGAGCAGCAGAGGAGCTGAGGAGATGGGGAAGAACCAGAGCAAAACGCACACAGCCCTCCTGAGCTGCCCGGCTCTGTCTGCTTTGTTCAGAACAAAGCCGGTCGGTGTTTCGTAGAACCATAGCATCGTTTGAGTTGGAAGAGACCTTAAAAGCTGTCTGATCCCACTCCTTGCACGAACAGGGTCACTCACAGCTCCATCAGTGCTCAGAGCCCCATCCAGCCTGACCTTGGCTGTCTGCAGGGACATCACCACCTCTCTGGGCGACCTGTGCCAGTGCCTCACCACCCTTAGCGTAAAAATCTCTCCTTACGTTTCCGCAGAGCAGCTGAGGGCTGAGGGCTGCACAGTGTTCATTCATCAGCTGTCACACAGACACTCCTCACATTGCAGAGGTGGGAGCAAGGCTGGGGTCTGGGCGAGCGCCCCAACTTTAAGGACTGGTATTGGGGAATTTGCAAGAAGTGCCCAAGAAATGAAGTTCAATCATAATGGAGTTTTCCTTTCCCAGTGTTTCTCACTTCTTGTTCATCAGAAGCGGTGTGTTTTGGAGGGTCTTGGTGCTTTTTGGGAAGAAGATGTCAGGTGGTAACCGGCAGGCAGAGCCACCACAGCTGCTCCCTGTGCCTGTTGCTTACGGGAGCCCATCGCAGGGATCCCTGCTGGCTGTGGGCTTGTCTGCTCTTTTCTCCCACTGGTTTTAGTCACCAGAGGTCATTAGTGTCTGATTGAGCTATTCAGCTGCAGCTCTGCGGCACCTTTTAGTTGTTCCTCAGACATTTGTGTACAACGTCCTCCTCCTGGCTCTGATGAGCAAGAAAGGGAGCTGATTTTCAGCCATTGCCTTCCTGAGCTGGGGCGGCTGCTGGAACTGAATTTCAGCAGAGAGCTCCTTAGAGGTTCCATGGGGGAGGTGGGGGCACAGGTAGGCTGCAGTGCTAATAACTGGGCGCCTCGCTCTCGAGATTGCCAAGCATTCTTCCTCGGCTCTGAAAGCCTCCCAGGCCTTTGGAGAGAAAATTGATCGTGAATTCCTCCGGTGCTTGGTGAGTCATCCCAAATCCCCCGTCTCTCAGTAATACTTTGCCAGATGGGTTGAATATTTCAGTCAACCATCTCTGGAAGGAGCCTCAAGACATGACGCAGCCGGTGCATCTAACATCTCACAGACCTTGAACTTGACAAACTTGGGGTTGAGCGACAGAAACATTTCTCTGTCTGCATCTCTCTCAAAGCCTGGTGGCAGAGCTTTGCTCAAGTGTAAGAGAAGGGGTTGCATGTAAATATTTAATTGCGTGTGGTTTAAAGTCAGGAGATCCATGAGCTCTGGGCTTCATCTGTCACCAAAAAGGCAGTGCTGGCGTGGTGGCTGCAGACAGGGGATGCTGCCAGTGCAGCTGGGCCGGGCCAGGCCTGTGTAGTCATTAATGAAATGTTGCTTCTGCAATAAAGAGATCAATGAGATGGAAGCTCACCATCTGGAAGCTCCGTGATGGTTCTTAACTGATTTTTAAATGGCGAGTCTGCAGCAATAACCATAACCAGGGCATCTCCCATGTGCTGAGAGGCACCCCAGAAGTTGGATGCTGCAAAACCAGTGTTTTAGTTCTACCTTCTAGTATTGGTGACAGTCTTGGGTTTGAGATTTGCCTTAAGAACAAATAAGAGAGATCCATTTGGTAATATCAGAAAGCTGTAGTTTTCCTTGTAGAGACCTCTAAGACCAAGTCCAACCCCAGCCCATCCCACCATGCCCACATCCCTCAATGCCACATCCTCACAGTTCTGGAACACCTCCAGGGATGGTGACCCCACCACTTCCCTGGGCAGCTGTGCCACTGCATCACTGCTCTTTTTGGAGAAGAAATGTTTCCTGATAGCCAACCTGATGTCCCCATGCCATCCTCAGGGTCTTCCCACAGAGATGTGGAATGCAGAGCAGATAAGGGTCCTGCCTTAACAGAAGTCCACCCCTCAACCTCAGCTTTCAGAAGAAAAGCCTAAGACCTACAGGTTGAGTAGGTGGCTGATCCCAGGGAAACCTTTAACACTAGTTAAATGGTGAGACCAGAAATACTTCAGAAGAACTGCTCTTTAAAAGCAAACATTAAAAAGTTTCTTCAAACCCATCAGAAGTAAGGATGTTGATGCAACACTTTGCTTTGCTAAAACGTAATAAGCAGTTCACTGAGTTATTCTATCAAGATACCAAAATGCCCTTCCAGAGCAGCACTGCTGCATTTGCACCATGCAAGCACATGGGCATGCAGGGCTGTCAGGCTCCTTGCTGCAGCCCCTGTTGTCCCTCCAGGAGTTAAATACAGGGATTTGAAGGATGCAAAAGATGAGAAGCTTTTCAAATTAGCCAGATCCTAGACCAGGTGAAGGTCTTGTAAAGTTAAATTGGCTTCCATTAAATTAAAGGTGTGGTGCATGAAGAGCAGGCTGCAAAGGGGAGAACAGAGGTCTGCCTGTATGTTACCTGGAGGTGTTTCTCCCATCAGTTCTGTTTATTGAGCAGGAGGGCTGACCATGAGCTGGAGCTCTGTCAGAAGGGGGCTGATCTCTTTGCATTTGCGTCAGATCGGCAGCGCTCCTTCTGACGTGGGCTCTCCTGGCAGAGGCTGGATGTGACTGCAGGGAAGTCAGGGGGTGCTCAGGGCTTTGGGTTGTGCCTTCAGGAATAATCCAGTCTCTGATCTGAATGCGTTCTGTAGTAGAGAAGTGATTTGGGGAGCTGATGAAGGGAGACCCTGGGCTTCAAAGTGCTTCTTATCACAGCCGTGATTTGAGATCTCAGACAAATTACCCATCTGCCTGGGATCTCGGCTCTTCTTGTGGGACGTGGCAGTGACAGTACCTCCCTGCTAGGCAGAGGTGTTGTGAAAACAGCAATTTAACAATGCTGGGAAGCAATCTGTGCGAGAAGGAAGCGAGACTCATTTGACAGAAGAAACAGAGGCTTTCATGTGTGGGTTTCTCATCCAGGCCCCCAAAACAGCAGCACATGCACTAAACACAGGTTGGGGACAATTGCTGCTAGCGGGTTTGGTGCTGTTAATCACTTAGCCCTGACCAGAGAAAGGATTACGAAGTGCTTTGCATAATCATGTAAGTACATAAAGATGTATCTAAATCACAAGTCTAACTGCGCCGCTAATTAGCTCTTTGTGGCTGCTGCGGCAGGAGGAGGTCACGAAGTGCTGAACTCTCCCATCCTGTGCTGGGTCCCTCCAGAGACTGCTGAAACATATGGGAAGGATGGCTCTGTAGGAGCTCTTCCTATTTTCCCTTTGCATTTCTCGGAGCGTGCTTTCCAATGGCTGCCAGAGCGTTAGGAGTTCTCTGTAGTTCTCTACAGAATCTGCTGTTCTAAAAGAATTGAGCATGACTGTGCTTCCTCTCTCTGTTAATCTGAAAATGGAGAGTATCACATTTGTGAGATGCTGGGTAACGTTTCCAAACGCCCCTACTTGTAATTTCCAGAGGTTTTTATCTCCTAGATCGTTAGGAGCTTTTGAGAAATAAGTTGCCAATTGTCTAATCCAAAAAATCATATCTTTGCTGCGGGGAGTGATGTAAGGATTGTGCATTGGCTTCTTAAATTAATAACGTTTCTGATTGCTTTGAAGCGCTCAGGTTTCCTCAGCAATGTTCATGGTGTTGGTTCTTATCCATTTCCTTGGTGCTGATAAGGCATTGTGGTTATTTCACATCCTTTGCTTTTTCCCCATTGTTACCATTTGCAGCACTTGGTTGGTAGCCATTCACATGAGGCGGCCTCGTGTTTTCCCTGAAGATAAAAATCCAGCATTGTGGAAACTGTAAATGCCAAAGCAAACTGATCAGAGGTCGTGGATGGATGTTCTGTGCATTCTTAACTCATGTATCATTTTGGAAATGCGATGTGGTTTTCTTGGTTAGCATCCAGTACTTGAGAGAGAAGAAAAAGTTCTCTCATCTCTGCCTTCTGCAAGGTATTTGAAACCATGGGTTTGGCCCTTCCTCATTTAAGTAGGTCCTACTGATGTGAGGAAGTCCCTTTGCTGGGCTCTGGATGGTCACTGGGTGGCTGCCAAGTGCCATTAAATGCTGGCTGTCAAGCTTTGAAGTCAAGACTGAACAGCAGCAGATTTCACAATGAGGCATTTTCTTACACCCAGCCAAGTTTCTTCTTGGGTTTGGTGGAGGTCAAGGCAAGAAGTATAAAGAAAAACCTAAAACTTCTCTCTTAGAAGCAATCTTGAGTCTCCACCAATGGCCACAGGAAAGAAGGGGGTTGTGTTGGCTTGCACACCGCTCACATCACTCTCCAAGTCACCCGACCACGCGTCTTAAGAGTTCCAAAATGTGAGCATTGTGATCCCTGAATGATGGCCTTTGAATGCCCCTCATGTCTGGCAGCATCAGTCTGGTCACGGGAGATGTGCCTGGAGAACAAAGGAGGTTCTCAGAGCTTTGGCTGCCCCAAGTCCCAGAGGCTGGCTTGGGATTCACTGCTAGTCTGGATAAAGTTCATGACACTTCAGCAAGTACCATTTCCTGCCCCTCTGCCTGCAGGAACCAATAATCCTTTGCTCCATACCCTTGAAGGACAAGCCTACCCAACAGAGATCCTGCAACCAATTCAGGTGCCACGATGTCCCTACCCAGCAGAGAACCTACAGCCAATTCAAGTGCCATGATGCCCTACCCAACTGAGATCATACGGTGATTCAGGTGCCATGATGCCCTACCCAACTGAGATTCCACAGCAATTTGGATGTCATGGTGTCCCTACCCAACTGAGATCCTACAGCAATTTGGATGCCGTGATGTCCCTACCCAACTGAGATCCTATGGTGATTTGGGTGCCATGATGTCCCTACCCAACTGAGATTCTACAGCAATTTGGATGCTATGATGTCCCTATCCAGCTGAGATCCTACGGTGATTTGGGTGCCCATGCAGTGAACCCGGAGCTCAAAGCAAAGCATGAAGCAAGGCAGTCAGTTCCATAAAACTTGGCAGAGCTCTCACTGCCAGCAAAACAGCAGTTGGCACATGGGTGGTTGGAGGCAATTTGGAAGGTTCAGCTGATGTGGTTTCATGCTGCCTGGCACGCAGGGCTCTGGTAACTGCTTCTAAGATATGGATTGAGGGGGAAGGAAGCTGTGAGATGCTACATGCCCTGACTGCACAGCTTCGGGATGGATTTCAGTGGTTGCCAAAAGATGTGGAGGCCTGTGTAGAGATAATTCTCTCGTGTGCCTCGGTAAGTCTCTGCTATGGAAATTTTATGAACTATTAGTTGCTCTTTAATGAGCCTGAAAACAATCTCATTTTCACTTAGTTCTGTGCCCAGCGAGCCATGCTGAAGGAATCTTTGAGGATACTCGGGCTCTGGTGTTGCACTGCAATATTTCTGTGTGGCAGAGCTGAGTCAGACGGGTGTATTTATGGGCTTTGCATAGCAAGGTCACGGGCAGGGGGCTGCATGTGGGCAGTGAAAGCTGATTTCCTCCATCCTCCTTCAGGGCCAGAAATGTTTAACCCTGACACCGCGCTCACCTTCCGCCGTCCTCTGTTTGTTTGTTTGTTTTTAATTTCTTTTTGCAGTTTAACTGTTACGGTAAAAAGATTCGGGGGGTTTTGTCAGTCTTCATAACTTCACTGTTATTCAGCCACCACCAAAAGGAGAGAGCAAAAGGCTCTGAAATGAACGGGCAGGCGGTGCCAGAAGATGTGTCATCAAAGATTGCAGCGAGGGATGCTTCCAAAAAGCCTCAGCTGGCCGTGGTTCTGCCCAGCAGGTGTGATCTGAGCCCCTGTGCTCCCAGATTGTTCAAACTGAACTCATTGCTAAGTTTGGTGTGGAATGTTGAATGTTTAAAGGGCCATTTGAAAGGCAACTGATGATGGCTTTGAAAGTCGAAAAGCTTCTTGTGACAGCTTGTGGCTGTACTCTTCCGTTCCTGTGTGTGACTTTGAGCTGTAGATACACGTGCTGTAAGTCAGAGCAGCAAGGTATCCCTGGGGGTGTTCAGGGATGGGGCCCTGCGCTGCTGCCTGATTTAGTGGTTGGCAACCCTGCCTGCAGCAGGAGGGTTGGAACTGGACGATCTTTGAGGTCCCATCCAACCCAAGTCATTCTGTGCTGATGCTATGATTGGGAAGAGAACTGGTGCCTTCCTTTCAGTATTGTTAGACATTATGGATTGTTTCTCCAGCCCTTACCCTGGCGTGACTTGTGAGCAGATGAAACGGCATGTTAGTTTAACAGCTCTCATTCCCTTACTTCTTGCACATTGATGCTGTCCTGACAGAAGCCAGCAGCATCGCCCTGCTCCTTTGTCTATTGTTTGGGCTTTGCGTTCATACAAAGTTGTGATAATCTCACAATGGAAATGACTTCTTCATGATTTATGGGCAGTCATTCGTGCCCCACAGATCTTTTATTCCATTCAACAGTGCCTTCTGACTTCTGCTTCTCTCATGGGTGAAGGCAGCGTGGCTGCTGGCTGTCAGCCTGCTTTTAATTCCACGTTTCAACGCCCCGTTTCTTTCCCAGTTGTGTCACACTGATTGTAAAACATCCTTCCTTCACCCTGGCTGTGATTTCTTGATATTCTCTGACTACAGAGAACTGCCTTTATATTCATAGCATCCCAGTGAATTCTGTAGGCTGGGTCTGTTGCTGTTTGGGTTCTGAGCAGCTGAAGTGAATCCTGAGCTCGCTCCCAATTGCTGCGCATCGTTTTGCTTCACAGGGCTCTTGCTGCATTTCAGCACAGTTCCTTTCAGAGAAAACTAAGCTACA